CAAATTGTGATCCAAATGTGGAAAGTTTATTTAGGTAATAATCACAGTAGCAAAGAAGTATCCATAGTCACCTGTGTTATTAAGGGTCTATTTGTATAAATGATATATGACACTCATTCAACTTTCACTGCATGAATATTTCTTGGGCACCTCCTAAGTATAGGTCTCTGAAGATAGGATGATCTCATTTCTCATTTTGTGGATATCATGTATAGTATTCTAGGTAGACAAAACTACACATTAAATAATTAATTAGACAATGGAATGTTTACTTACAAATCTAAGAAATCCTGGCTATAGTACATCTGGTGGACAAATATAGATACAGGGACACCAGGTAACAATTACTGGAGTGACATCAGCAAGAGACAAAAAATATGTCTTACACTAAGGTAGTGAAAAGTACAGATAGCTCCATTAAATTCAATGGGTCTATAATACAGAATTAAGAGATAGAAAGTGAAGAATTGACTTCCTCCCTGTTATCCCAGGCACTTAGGAAGTCAGGAAAAACCCCAGTGTGCAAGGATTTGCATGACACTGGCAGGGCACTCAGACCTAAGCCTGGAGATAAACATTCTATTCACCTCGCCAGCCCTAAGCCTTCTTGGACCCATAAAAATCTAACTCGAACCCCACCTTTTGCACCACCTCCAATCTCTTGGGAAGGTTGCCTGTTCCTCAATGCTCCTCAATACACAGTCCTCACCTGTTGAGACTGAGTCCCAGCCTGTTCCTTTCTCCTCCATTTTCCTAACAGAAAGTGAAAAACCTAAGCAATTCCATTTTACGTAAGACCCCATCTCAGTTCTGCGACTTAACTCGTGGCCCACTTTAGCCCCAATGCTAGGAATTTATGACAGAAAGCCATGCACAATTCTTGGAGCCATAGATGGCATTTCCTTAAGGCAGGTGATTACTCCCAAGTGGTGGTGTCCCCTAGCGACCTAGGGCTAAGGGCTAAGAGTTTCGGTTCCGAGGAAAACCATATAATTTTCTGACCAACCGGTTCTTCAGAGCCCAGAGCGAGACATGCCATGCATTCTGTTGGTCCAGATGTGACTCATAACCGTTTTTGGTCAAGCTATGGACCAAGAATATTTTTATGTAAAGGTCAACCAATCATATTTGCCCAGCTTAGCTTGCTTTAAATGATAACCAATCATGTCATTTCTTATGTAAAAGTTCCTTAAAGTTGTTTGTTCAATACTATAAAAACTGTGCTGATTCTATGCTCAGGGCCTCTTAGTGTCACCAGTTGCCAAGTGTGCGAGGAACAAACTTGAGCTTGCAATAAACGACTCTTTGCTGTTTGCATTGATCATGGTGGTCTGTGAGGGAACATCCGAAAATGGGGTACTTCAGAAAGTACATTGATTTATTTCTGGAAAGTAATAATATACTTTATAAGTTCTAGTCTAATGGATTTAAATAGACTTTTTTTTTTTAAGATGGCAGGATTAAGCCGTATGCTGGTGGCTCACGCCTGTAATCCTAGCTACTCAGGAGGTTGAGATCTGAGGATCACAGTTCAAAGCCAGCGCAGGCAGGAAAGTCTGAGACTCTTATCTCCAATAAACCACTAGAAAACCATAAGTGACACTGTGGCTCAAGCAGTAGAGCACTTGCCTTGAGCTAAAAAACTGAGGGACAGCGCCCAGGCTCAGAGTTCAGGCCCCATGACCGGAAAAAAAAAAAAAGATGGCAGGATTACACTGTCTGAGAAGGTAACAGGCTGAGGAATTCCACAAAGTTTTTTTTTTTTTTATATTAACGATGAACAGTGCTCTTTCCTTTAATATGCACATTTTGTTTGCATATACCATGAAGATTAGCGTGGCTGATCTGAGAATAGCTAACTGTAGTCATGAATGAAGCAATGGAACACAATTCACAAGGCCTCAATCAGATATTCAGACATGGCCAAGTAGAGATCAGGGTCTCATGAACCAACCCATCCAATGAGTAGTTAATAAAAATGAATTCTGAAAATGCCTCAATAGTTTTGTTAAATTACTTAACTATTATGAAGGCACAGAACTTATGCTTTTCATAAAGCGAGGGAGAAAAAACAAAAAGCCTGTTAAACATGTAAGGGTAATCTACATAATTTTAAATTCCTCTTAAAAATACAAACCCTATATATAGACAGGAAAACGCTAGAGACAGAAAACACACAAACACAAAAAAGATTTATCAAGATGTCTAAACTTTTCAGGCTATATATTCAGAGAAACTGTGTTTTTAATCAAGCTAGCCTTAGTTTAAAATTTAAATTGAATGTAGACTGAAGAACTTACTGTAAATACTTTTAATTTAATACTTAGATAGATTTTTTAAAATAATGAATTAAATGAATACATTGCACTATCTACAGTGAATCCATGATTATATATGCTCTGTCCAGTAGAAGGAATTTATGTTTTAGCTAAGAAGATTAACCTTATTGCTTTTTGTAAAGTTCATCTTATCTTCAACTAGCTTATCTTTTCCATTAAGCATTGATTTGGCTCAGTGAACTGAGCTTCTCTAGCAATAGAAAACTGAGCATTAACAAGAGATAAGGGATAGAAAATATAAATAGTATATGTCCAGAAGACCAATAAATGTTCAAATTAGGGGAAAATAACGTTTCCTAACTTGAGAAGTTATTGAGTTCCCACATTATACAATGTAGCTTCTGAATAAAGCTCATTGTCTCTTCTAGAATAATGAATCAAAAATTGAGAGCAACATGCCATCAGAGGACAGTGTCTTTTAAAGGTGCTCAGTCCTGTTTGAAATATCTTAGCTGGGTGATGGTGGCTGATGCTGCTCAGGATGCTGAGAACGGAGGATCAATGTTTGAAGCCAGCCCAGATAGGAAAGTCCATGAGACTTGATCTCCAATCAACCACAAAAAACCAGAAGTGAAGCTGTGGATCAGGTACTAGGGAGCCAGCCTTGAGTGAGAAAAGCTAAGGAACAATGCCCAGGCCTTGACTTCAAGCTCCAGTAACAGAACACATAAAAAAATATAATTTATTTAAATATACATGTATATGTACCTTTAACTTCTCATGCTGATCATTTCCATGAGTTCTACATGGACTGATTTTCAATCATTCTAAAAACTAGGAACTACAAAAGTGTTGGTCAGTCCCCTAGTAGTTTAACATGTACAGAAAAACAAAAAAAGCTCTTCCTCATTCCCTGCATTTGTGAAGATCATACACTGTAAAGAGGCTTTTAAGGAGATTGTGGTGAAGTGTGAATATATATATTTATTCCTACAAAGGCAGTTCAGTTGCAATGGGTATCAAGTTTTGAATTCACTTCTCTCTATAATTCAAATGCATTTGCATATCTATTACAAAATAGAGGGTAAATATCTTCCATCTGTCTCTCATTTTACAAAGGAAATATTTCTTGCTTCTGCAACAAAAATCATTTTATAACTTCACTGCAGTAGAGGTTTTCCAAGTTATTTGGCCCAAAGATAATACTAAAGCAACTTAACACTTACCAGATGAAAGAAGAAATTTTCCTTTAAATGACTCTGATTTTTGAGGCTATTTTTGTTGTAATTTTTGTGTTATGTCTTTACTCTTGCCTAAGTAATATGATATTGAGGGTAGTTTCAGTACAGATGAAAACAGAACGCCTCTTACATCAACTTCATGAATTGGCAAATATAGTGGAAATCAAGTAAAATTAGACATAAAAATGCAACTAGAATTGGTAAAAAGAAAACAGACATCCTTGCATTTTTTGTGGGGGAGAGGACTGATTTAATCTTAGAAATTGCTGCAAAGCTTATGCTAAAATCATTCTTCTTGACCTTAAGGACTCCTTTAAACAAAACCATGTATTGTAAAATTCTATATTAATTTTTATCCATATCTTTCATTGTCATTATATTTTCTTTTTAGTTTCAGAACACTATCTTAGAAATTACTTACATTTCTGTGCAATTCTAAGAAGATATATCAACTTTTTCTAGGACATTAAAAAAAATTCCAAACCATATTCAGTTAAGGATATATTTAGAACATGAGGATATATAAATAGAACTGATTTTAAATAGTAGTTATTGAGAAAGCAGTTATTTCATTTTATAATCTCTCTCATAAAGCTACAAGAAATTTTCCATTCAATATTAAACAGATTTCATTCAAATTGTCTCTCCATATTATTTATGGCTAATTATAATAATAATACAACACTTTTTAAAGGGCCCAGAATATTTTCCTTTCTTAATGTGCAAAACTGATGAATGTAAGAATACTATTAGTATCAAAGGATAATATTAAATACTTGTATTTTTTCTTTCCAAGCTTTGCCCAAGTATATAGCATAGGGCTAGATTCAGGGAAGGGCAGAACTCACAGCCCCCTGCTTAGGAAAGAGATGAGTGTTGTTCAGGAGCTATAGTTTGAAGTAAACTTTGCTAATAACTGCAATACATCTCATCTTAAACAGAAGTTCCTGAGCTATAACTTCATTCAGAAGAATTATTTTGAGCTACTTGTTTATTACAACATAAACACTTGCAATATTCAGGCAAAGGTAGTCAGAGAAATAACTTGGTGAACCATGCTCTCATTTGAAATAAATATGAGAGTGACTCCTTGAGGAAACAAGAAGACAAAATTAGAATCATAAAAGATAGTGACAGAAGCTCATGGTCCGGATCCAAAATAAAAAACAAAATCCATATCTCTTAAGTTAAAGTACACAAAGCCACAGAGATCCATTCTGAAATCGACTAGAAGATTCTTGGTCTGGTTTAACCAAATGTTACCTAATAATAACCAGAAAAACAGAACATATATTTTATAAGATAACTTCCTCAGATTACCAAGATTCCACACAAACCAGTAACCACAACTCCATAACCAGTAAGTCAGGAACACCTCCATCTCCCTTGCTCTTTGAGAACTGTTGGATTAAAACTCGTGTAAGGGAATATAAATGAGTGAGGTTTTCTGGCAGTAAAGAGATGACCACAGGATTCTTACCTGGCCCCCTTTCGGCTGGTATTTGATGTTGTCTGTCGATCCAATTTTGGATTTGACATTCTTCAGGTCTGGCAGTGGTTGGTTAATAAGCCGGAGCTGTTTGGGAGTAGCAGGCGACTTTGGAGGAGTGCGAATGATGGCCACTTTCTTCTCACCGGGCACCAAGATGGCAGATTTGGGGGTTCCAGGTGTTCTGGGGTAGCTGGGGGTTCCAGGAGTGCCTGGAGTGCGTGAAGAATAACTTGGTGGGGTGCCAGGAGTGATAGCAGTGGATCCAGGGGTTGTGGGGGTTGAGGTGCCACTTTTTCCTGCTCTGCGAATTGGCTCTGACCCTATGTTAACAAGCAAGTGGGACAAAAACCACAGTATTGAAAACGTCCCCAGAACTCCCCAGCTGTTTAGTTCCTAAGGTATTTGTAAATAAGTACAAATCATTGCAACAGTGTTGAGAAAAAAAAAAAAAGGTGAGGTCCTCCTATCTTTAGGTTTAGAAGCTGGTGACTTTCTTTTGAACACATTTTTTTTAATTGCCACAAAGATAAGACTTGATTTTGTTTTTCTTGATTTGCTCTCCATAGTTCTCATCATGAGTACCTCAAAACTCAATTTCTATCTGAAATAACTAGGGTATATAGCTTGCCTTTTGCTGGAAATAGAGGGTATGCTTAATGTAGCATGTGGATCCTGTTCACAGAAGATTCCTGAATGGCATATGATCACTCATCCCTCTCCATAAATACATTCATTCTGAGATAAAGATGTAGGTGTACACACAACCTAGAACTGTGTATTTAGATAACATGTTTATCATATGTAGAAAGGTTCCTATTGAATCTTGTTACACCTCTGGCTTACATGAGTAGCTCTGTGGTCTACATATACATTAAGTAAAAGCTGTCAGACATTGCTTTATTGTATCATTCATTCCCTTTGTAATGAAACTTAGCTTCTGACTGAAAAAGTTGATTTCTCCTTATAAAAACAGGCTGTTTCAAGAATGCAATCATGGGGCTGGGAATGTGGCCTATTGGTAGAGTGCTTGTCTAGCATACATGAAGCCCTAGGTTCAATTCCTCAGTATCACATAAATGGAAAAGGCTGTGGCTCGAGTGGTAGAGTGCCTTGAGCAAATGAAGCTCAGGGACAGTGCCCAGGCCCTGAGTTCAAGAAGCTCTGGGACTGGCAAAAAAGAAAAAGAAAAAAGAAAAAAGAATGCAATCACACTGAACCTTGTGGATGACTGTTTTCTCTCTTACTTTCATCAATAGTTGGACAGTTTGGAGTCAAATAAAAGTCTCACATGCTTTTAGTAACTATACAGGATTTTAGAATACATATCTTTCTCTGGATCAGTCTCCATTTTCCTTTCCTAAGATTTGCTTCAAAGCATTTTCAATGCTACTTCAAATGCTTTTCTGAACTAAGTGTAATATAATAAAGTACAACATGTAGATTTTTAAGCTGTTTCTGGAATACCACTCATGCTGAAATAAACAAAAATACATAACAGATAGGGCAGATTTTATTACTCTTAAGAAATAAGAATATCAGGGCTCATTTATTCAGATAGTACTAAATTCTAAAGCAGATATAATTATTAGCTTGTGAGAATTCACAGCTTTAAAAGAAGTCATCCTTCATTTATGACACATGTGATGGCATGATTCTTAGTTTTTACTACTGAAGACGTACACAACTAAAATCAATGGATCTTGTAAAATTTTGTGAAGGACAAAGACAGGTTACTGGATGTAGCTGATTGTTGGGTATAGCTGTAGAAAGTTCTTCCAGTATGGGGTCATGTAGTTTAGTCTTTGCTGGATATTTTAAGAAATAAATTTAACAGAGCTTTTAGATTGTTGTGTTCTGCAGACAGCATAAATCTATCCTTTGGTCTAGGTTCTATTGTCCAGAGAAACATGATTTTACTTCTTCTTTCAGTGAATACTTTTCATACATTAAGAGAAAGTTGTTTTGTGTCCTTCTAGTCTTTTAATGATAAACATTTTTCTTTATCCAAAAAATATGAAATATGATACAAGATGACCAAAGTGAAAATTCGTGTGTATTCTATATTTTTTCTCATTTTCCATAAAATAACATTTCAAAGCCAGTTTTTAATGTATGCTTAACCCTATCACTATACCATTTTGTCAAATCTCTCCAGAAATCTTATTTCTTCCTTAGATATATTCCCTGTGAATTCACCAGCTTTGAGTAGGTGAGATATTCTATAAGAGAAGGAATTTCTCTGTATGTTTTTCTTCTGTACCTAGCCTGAGTGATTTTTATGGTGGCAGAACATAGCAGGTATTCAAGATTTGTTTTTTAATGTAATGAATTGGATTCAGATTCACTGAGGTGCACTTAGCTGCATTTTGCTATATGGAGAATGGCCTGTGGTAATATTGTGGGAGTGGCTAAAATGCTTATTACAGGGTATATACATATATATATATATATATATATACATAAAAGAAACGTTTTCTATTAACACTTGAAGTATGAGGCTAAATCAACTTCCCACTGCTATTCAATACATGTGGAATTTTTTATTTAATTTAATTAAATAATTAATTTTGGGTCCAGTTGTGGGGCCTGAACTCTGGGCTTGGGTGCTGTCCCTCAGCTCTTCAGCTCAAGGCTAGTGCTCTACCACTTGAGCCACAGCACCACCTTGGGCTTTTTTCTTTTTTGCTTATGTGGTGCTGAGGAACTGAACCCAGGGCTCATGAATGCAAGGTAAGCGCTCTACCACTGAGCCACCTTCCCAGCCCCTGGAACTTTTTATTATCATAAATTATGTTCTACTGTTCTAAATGATAAAGTTAAGTGTTTTCTATTTATCCTGAAAGAAGCACATTTAAGACCTTAATATAATTTTGAAAACTTTCTCTAGTTACTTTTATTAAATTGTTTATTTATCATACTTGAACTCAGGGCTTAGGCACTATCCTTTAGCTTTTTTGTTTAGGGCTGGTATTCTACCACTTGAGCCACATCTTTAATTCTGGCTTCTTGTTTTTGTTTTTGATTAATTGGAGATAAATGTTTTACAGACTTTTCTGTTCAGGCTATTTTGAACCTATATCCAATCCTTACATCTCAGCCTCCTGAGTAGCAAGGATTACAGGTACAAGACACCAGACCTGGAAAATTTTCTTATTTATCTTGTCAACTCCTACATGACAATGACTTTCTTGGACTAAAGGACTTTTCTGAACAGTTTTGTTTTCTTCAAATCTTTCCAGTGTGCAGTTATAGTTGCATAAAATGCCAGAACATTCCATTGTGCAGTTATGGCTCATGCCTGTAATCCTAGCTACCCAGGAGGCTGAGATCTGAGGATCGTGGTTCAAAGCCAGCCTGGGCATGAAAGTCTGGGAGACTCTTATCTCCACTAGAAAACCAGAAGTGGCACTGTGGCTCAAGTGGTAGAGTGCTTGCCTTGAGCTGAAGAACTGAGGAACAATGCCCAAGCCCAGAGTTCAAGCCCCCACTACCGACAAAAAAAAAAAAAGAAAATGATAAGAAAGTGGGAGTTACATAATGCTAAAATAGGCCCAATGTCCCAAAATCCTCAGATGATCAGAGTATCATGAGTATCAGTTATGCTTTAAAAAAAAAAAAAAAAAAAAACAAATGACCTAGTGCTTGTGAACATCAGTCAGATAAAGAAGTTAGGAAGTAAAAAACATCATTGGCTCAGAACAAATTAAAAACCAAATTACATACAGATACACTTTAAAAGTCAGAACACACAAGCTTGAAGAACTGCATTTATATTGAAAGTACCATTTTGTTTCTATAGCAATATACAGAAACATGATTTAAAATATTGCTTTGCGATAACCTGGAGTCTTTGTCTTGTCTCATCATCACTGGGGTTACTGTTGATGCTCAATTATAGCTCTAGGTATTTGGAGTTAAAGGCTCTTCTTGCTGAGACTGCAAACTCTTAAATACTTTCCCTTACTAGTTCAGTTGAATATTTTAGCCACGGTAAAAATAATTTTGAAATATCAAAATATTCTCAGCACAAGCTTCAAAAGATGGTTGTTTCTTTTTTCATGAAATTAAGTGGTGTTGCGTACAATTATTCTAATTTTGTAATTAAAAGTATTTTTGCAGGGGTCAGTGTCAGTGGCTCATTCCTGTAATCCTAGCTACCCAGGAGACTGAGATTCAGGATCAAGGTTTGAATCCCAGCATGGGCAGGAAAATCCATGAGATTCTTATTTCTAATAAATTACTCAGAAAAAATCAGAAGTGGAGCTGTAGCTTAGTGGTAGAGCACTAAATGAGCAAAAAGCTCAGAGACAATGTCCAGGCTCTGAATTCAAGCCCCAGGACCAGTACTATTTATGTGTATGTATGTATATATATATGTATATATATGTATATCTGTATAATATATAATTTATATATTCATTTATTTATTTATTTATTTAAAATAAATGGAAGAGCTAGTTATAACATGATAGTGGTTGTAATTTCTAGCATTTTATGATTGTTTCTATATTACAGAGCTATAATTCTGCAAATGATTTTACAGAGCATTTCTCCAATACTACTTTCTCTAAGTAAATGTAGAGAAATCCTTAGGAGGGTGGCTGGTGAAATTGTCAGTGGGCTGAAAACCATATTCAACCACTTATTAGCTGTACAGCATTAAGCAAGTTCTACCTTAATCCACAGGTCCTGCAATGGTAGCACATATGGAAAGTATCACGTCAATTTGCTGGAATTGCTCTTCTTATAAATATAACCTTAGTTCACCTACCCATAAATTGATCATATTTTAAGACTACTAAAAGAAGCTATATTTGAAGCCTAGTAATGGAAAATTTTATGTTAATAATAAGGTTTAGATGTTATAATTTGAATTGATTTTAATCAATCAACTAATCATCAGCATTGTTAATTCAACTAACTAAAAGAATAATAAGGAAATACAAATTTAGTATTTGTATAAATGTACAAAAGCCTGTTTGTTGTTTTCTCTATTAATTATTTCTTTAGAATTCTCTTTTTTGCCTAAATTTCAAAGAGGAGAGAAAAACATTCTTACAAAAATGACTCTATCTCAACCTTGTTTAATAGATAACAAAGCAATTTGTTCCCATTTGCTCCATCAATTGTTTTGACTCAAAGTGCTATTGTCTGGATTTTCTGGTTGTTAGGATAAAGATCATCTGTTCTTGGGGTACATTTTATTGGAATACTATAAAATATAGTAAATCTGTACTAAGCTCTAGGAAACCAAAGTAAAATGAACCTACTGGTGGTCCGTCGAGCTGCAGAGGAGATGGAACTGTTGAGGGAGAAGGAGTGTTCCTCTCTATCTCCTGATACTCCCCGGCGAGGAGGGAGGATGGAGGAAGGCCTTGGAAGAGAGGAGCGTTTTTCTGGACTCTTGGTGACTCCATCCTGATGGAGGAGAACAAAAAGATATGCTGTTCTTGTAGATGATCACTGTCTTAATTATACAAGGGGATTATTCTCTGGTTATTTTTCCTCCTGCACGAATACAAATATTTCTTTAAATTTGCATCACAAAATTCCATGTACTAACAAGTATTGCTACTCTGTAACACCGAATTATTATTTTACCAGATGTTTTATAAAAATAGAATAATATCTTGCAGTGAGTTCTGAAAATTAATTCAGAAACTCAGGTTCTAAAGGACATCATAGGTAAAATGAATTCACTCAAATTGTTAATTTTACTGAAAAATCTTCAATAGCCTGGTAATTTGTGTGTCATCAATGACCAGCTATAGGGCATTCACAGTGATCAAGACCATGTGTTACATACCTGTGTGACAGCTACTCTAAATGTATAATATCTGTTTATGATTTCATTCTTACCACAAAATATTGAGCATGCTTTAACTTTGAGGTCTAATGAGTTAGTTTTTTAAAGAGTTAGTTGTTTAAAGAGCATGGAGGTAGTAAGTGTAAGGTGTAGTACTAAACTCAAATGTGTCTGTTAGTGCACCTAAACTAACTCATATACAATGTAATTGTAATCAGCATATATGATACTACCCATTATATATGTAATATTATGGGCAATAGAATCTAATTTATTTTGTTAGATTGTATTTGATATTTTGTAACAATCAAATAACTAATAATAATGGAGATTATATCTAGAAAAAGATATTTGTACTCTTTTGATATGAGGCTGTTTATTAAAACCTTTCAACTATATATTTTATTATTGTTGTTGCTTTTTTCTTTTCTCTTCTTTCTTTTCTCTTCTTTCTTTCTTTCTTCCTTTCTTTCTTTCTTTTTCCTTTTTTTTTTTTTGGCAGTCATGGGTCTTGAACTCTGGGCCTGGGTGCTATCCCTGAGCACTTCAGCTCAAGGTGAGCACTCTACCACCTGAGCCACAGAGCCACTTCCTCAACTATATATATATATTTTTTAATTTTATTTTAATTTATTTGAGAACATACTGTACAGAGGGGTTACAATTACATGGTCAGGATAATGCATACATTTCTTACCAAGCATTGCAGCCTCCTCCTTTGTTTACCCTTCACCTCCCTTCCCAGCCTCCCCCCTCCCCCCCACCCAATCATACCCCCCCTCCCCCCCCTCCGACATTGTAAAGCTGGTTTTGACATGACATTTTGTACTTCTCATTGTTGCAACAGGTCCACCTGAATCCTTAAATGACTTGTTTGTCCCCATCTCCTCCACATGTTATACTGACATCAAATATAGTGAAAGCAGGGGTTACACTGTGGGGGAGGGACATACAAAGCAACCAAGAAATAATCTTATAAATGCGTTAGAAACACATGCATGAAAGAAACAAAAACATTAAAATACATATTTGAGGGTTCGTTTTCCTAACATCACATTCTCTGACTTTTTCCGCTTGACTCATACCTATACTAGATATTGCAAATAAGGGAAACCATGGGACCTATGTTTCTTTGGGCCTGGCTTACTTCACTTAATATAATTTTTTCCAAGCCTTTCCCTCAACTATATTTTTTAAAAAATAGTATCTATTGCTTTATGTCAAATACTTTAGAATTTCACATATTGGCTTTCATGCGTTTCCTAATTTGTGTTGTAACACCTTCTTCCAAGTTAATTGACCTGCTGCCTGCTGCCTTACCTTATTCCCTGATCCTGAGTTTGGCAAACGAGCTGTGGTGCTCACTGAAGTGGGCTATATTTAAAAACTGTCAGAACATGTGGCATTTTTAGTCATGCTAGGGTAGGCTGAGCTGTATCTTGGGGACTTTGTGCTACCCTGTAAAACAGGGATCTTTGACAAGGTAGAAATCTAGCCATGAAAGAAAACAAACAAAAGTATAAAATAAACCAAACTATGAAGTAAAATAATTTTTAAAGGCATAATATAAAAGAAATTAATGCATTTTGGATAAGAACAAAAAATGAATGACAATCAATGATGGATGAAATATGTGTGAATAAAGATTTTCATTGGGTACCTCTTTTTGGCTAGAAGTAACTTAACAATACTTACATAAAATGTAGACAAACATACAAAAAACATGACAATAGATCTATAAGATCTAGAACAGGTATCCATCTTATCTGTTCTCCTTTTTTCTAAATATTGTGATTATTTATACTTTATATACAGAAGAGACACCATGAATGACTGCTGGATTAAATGGTGGATGGATGGATGGGTGGAAGGATAGAAGAAAGAACAATGTTGCTTAGATATGAAAGAATTGGTTTTGGGAAATTCTGAGACCAAAACAGTGTATGGTTCAATAAAATGTAATATTTTGTCTACCGAGAGAAACAGAAGATATAACTGCAAGTGGGAACACTGCAATTAACCCTGTGGAAGAGCAGCACGTGGGATCTTTTGTAGGAAGCAAAAGGCTGGGGCTAAAGTCTTTTATCATGAAAGGCCAAAGCTAGAGATGGTGTTGAAGCAGAAAACAAACAAACAAACAAAACTCTGGGCACACTTCTTTGGTACAGGTTATTCTGGTTATACAGAAGCTTGGGAAGCAGTCTGAGGCTGTGATCACCCCCTCTCTTCTGAAACAAACTCTTCAGAAAATAAACACAGTTTCCTTGTCTCTGAAATAGACAAGGAAGTTATGAAAAGCAAATTATGAAAAATTTTTGGAAATAATTCCCATTGTATATGTGTATCAATTATATCATGCATTACATGTATATTAATAATGCATATTGTCAGTAAATTATTTGAACAGTGAACATGATAGTTATTCTTTGGGAAGACTGGAGATATATGTTACCCAAGGGGTTCCTAAGTGAATAATTTTTGGCATAACTCTGGAAGTTATAAACTGTTTGCTAGTATTTATGTAAGTGAAATCATTTCATTGTTACAGATGCAGAAAGAGTCCTCCAAATAATGAAGCGTGTATTGCCAATAACATTTTTTTTTAAGTCTTAAGTTTAGAAAAACTGTTACAATAGAAATGAGCAAATCTTTCTTCATGTTGGCTTAAGAATGGTACTAAGTGGCTACATACTGGATTACTTTATAAATTTTATATGTAGAATTTGTTTAACGAGAGTACAGATAGAATATTCTTTATAGGTCTGTAATTAATTCATAGGTCCTACAATAGAAGCACATATGGAAAATATCATGACAATCTGCTAAAATTGTTCTTCTAAGAAATATAACTTCGATTCACCTAACTATATGTTGATCATGTTTTACGAATGCTAAAACGAGCTATACTTGAAGCACAGTAATGGAATTCTTCTTCTTCTTCTTCTTCTTCTTATTTTGTCGGTTGTGGGGCTTGAACTCTGGACCAGGGCACTGTTCCTCAGCTCTTCAGCTCAATACTAGTACTCTACCACTTGAGCCACAGTACCACTTCTGGTTTTCTGAGTGGTTTATTGGAGATAAGAGTCTCACAGATTTTCCTGCCCAGGCTGGCTTTGAATCGCAATCCTCAGATCTCAGCTAGGATTATAGACATGAGCCACAGGTGCCTGGCAGAAAATTTTATTTTAAAAATTTGCATAATTTGTTTTCAGACAATCTATGTTCACTTAGATAAACTGAACACTAATGAGTTCATTTTTATGAGCAAAACATAAACTGGGAACGAAGTTAACATACAAAACTAATAAGATTTTTATGCATAAATGACAGTCTGTAAGATGTGTTATAAATCCTCAAAAGGAAAATCAGCACTGAAGAGCTTACCCATAAAAATCACAAGTCTTAATTTACAGGTGTGGATAACCCCTGGGGAGGTGTTTGCAAATGTAATGGGGTTAGACTGAAGGCTTTTGAAGAAAGCCATCCTGGCATGCCACATGTCTCCTGGGGGAATTGGTTAAAAATACAGATAAGAATGACAAATCCAAGGAGATTATTATCTTCAAATAATTAATTGGAGTTAGCTGTTACAGAAATAGCAGATGAAATTGAGATTTTCATCTCAAATTTTAACCTCCACAGCCGCCACTTCAACAGAGACATAAGAACGCACAGATTGCAAAACTTCTTCCTTTTCAGACCCAGTACCTTGAGTGGGAAGTGTAACTGGGTCAGCACAAGTCATTCTTCTTTGATTGATCCTACTCACAAAAGAGTGAATTTTAAAAATGTGATTTGGGAAATGACTTAATTGGATTGCTACTGATCAAGAAAGACAACTAGTAAAGCAAGGTAAACCATCACCTCTATGAGAAACCTGAGTGTAATTCTAGGTAGTTCAGGTTCATAATAATGAGCAAATTAGCTCACTGATAGAGAATGTGTCTTAGCATGATTTTAATTCTAGCACTGGAAAAAGAGAAAGCCCAAAAGAGAAATAGAAAAGTATTAGAGAACTGTGGAGATTCTCAGAGATAAACCAGGCTTGATTGATCTTGAAGCTTTAGGAATTTTAAGAGAAGTGGAAAATATATTTGGAAGGAAAAAAGATTGGTATATAAGAAAAAATAAGGACAATGGACAAATGTCTTCAGAAAGATGAGATGGGAATTTACAAGAAAAGGTTAGTTTTATGGCACATAATACATACTTTGTGTGGCTAATGTAACATTAGATGCTGATCTTATTGAGTTAATTGAGACCTGAATATGAGACCTGAAAACTTTCTGAAGGTTTTCTACACAATATTCATATAAATATGTTTTCTTAAAGCAGAAGAACTTTCCTAAAAGATGGACTCATTTTCCACAACTGCTTTTGAAAATCTTTACATTTCAATAATAATAAAAATAACAGACAATTATTATTGACTGAATTACTATTTCCTAGGCATTTAACAATGTATTGTTTTATAAAATTTAATTTTTACAACTAAATCATGATATAGGAATTTTTATTCTTCTTATTTTATAAACATTAAGACATAGGGAGCAAAAGATTGTATATGAAATAAATATCAAGATTTAGGCATGACAACTTCCTAGTTCTCTATAAGAAAAAAGAATACAAAGAGATACAAACCTTGAAATCATATTCTGGTGTAAAGAAAGCCTAATATTTGCCAAAGCCATAAACATATTTTTTTTTTACTATATGCTCAGGAGTATCTGTGCAAATATTCATATAAAACTCAAAAATCAAAATAAAAGCCCTCAGTTTTGGACATCAGTTTGGGTATTATTTAAAACGATATTGCTTTTAATTTTTCTTTTTTTAAAATCAGAACTTAGGCAAGGCATTTAATTATAAAATTCATTCCAAAGTGCATGTATATCTATCTATCTATCTATCTATCTATATATCTCCCTGTTTATAAGAAAACTTTGTATAATTTTTACACAAGTTAAGTTGTCTACCATTTGTGATCTAAGTAGAATACCAATTTTCTTTTAAAACCTGAGAACTCAAACTAGTTTTTTCTTTCTCATTTTTTAAATAAGTTTTTTTTTATTGTGAAAATACTGTACAGAGGGGTTACAGTTACATGAGCAAGGTAATGAGTGCATTTCTTATTAAGCATTGTTGCCTCCTCCTTTGTTTTTCCTCTACCATCCCTTCCTTCCACCTCCTCAACTACACTCCCCCCCACCACACTCCCATCCCTGCCTAAATAAGATGCTATGTTGCTTTTAATTTTTCATAATAAATACAAAGTAGAAATCCAAAAAAGAATATGGCTTTAAAAAATCACATGAAAAAATATCACATGACTGTAGACACAAAGTATTATGAAAAGTTACTAACTAAAATCACCCAAATTATTTGTTGTAATTTTAGGTTTTCATTAGTAGTTTTTAAAAATTTTTATTCCAATCATAAAAAATACATATTTCATGGTCTGGGAGCATAGCTTAAGTGGTAAAATTCTTTCTTCGCAAGTACCGGCTCTGAGTTCACACTCCAGTACCATAAATATATAAACAAAAATAAATAAACAAATAATACATGAATAAACAAATAATACAAATAAATAACATGAATAAATAATGTGAACAGCAAAATTAAAAAAAGAAAAAGTAGAAAAAATTATAAACATACAAGAAGATAATGTCATTAATAAAACCCCATTAAAGTGATATTTATCATCATAACTTGGTAAATAAAGAGCAATGTAACTTTGGCAGTATGTAGGAAAAATTTTAAAATATGCACAGTCTTCTTAAAATAGAAAACAACCCCAATAAAATGTACTTGTGAACTCAGCAAATAATGATCTCAATGGCAATGTTGTAAAAATAGCAACAGAAAGTATTTTGAATGTCAAACAATAGAAAATTCATTAGTTATATCATTGCAGATATGCAGAATGTATTCTATACTGTCAATAAAATGATTATAAGGATGCATCGATGGATATATTTACTGTCTAAGAAATCAAGGCACAACATTTCCATACCTATTATTCAACCTCTCAATGTGTGTGGGAAAAAAAATTTCACATTAAAATGGTAGTTACTTATCTCTAGATAAGGGAAGTACAATGGATTGCTTCTTAATTTAGTTTTACTTTTAATAAAAGCAATGAAATTATATTATAAAATACATTTGCATTGATTAAAATAGCTGAATTTGATTCTATGAAGAGGAAATTGGTCTTCCTTGTTTTCGCCCGTCACTGGACTGCTTTATCTGTTTCTAGATATCTTACTAAATAAGGCAGGATCACAGCTGAGTTCTCACCAGCTATCACCCATCATTCCAGAGGTTAATCTTTCCTGGGTGAGGGAACAGTTTGAAATAACATTTTGGCAGTAAATACCTAATGTCTAAACAGCATCTCAAGTTAATACCATTGCAACTGGTATGGAAAGAAACTTGAAATCAAGAGCAAGGAAAAATTCAATTACTCACGGAGACTTTGTCCTTTGCCTGTTTAAATGCACTGGGAGCCTGAGTTGATTCACCACCTGCTGCTGTTGAAAAGAAAACACACAAACGGCCCTAAACTTAGTAACTTAGTGGTTATAAATCACACAAATGCATGTTAATACCTTTTGGTTTTGGATATTACTATTTCAATAGACTAGTGAAAAGCAAAATTTTGCTGCTTTGGGGGCTCAAATTCAGTAACTGAAGAAACCATAACAGTAACAACAAAAGCTCCAACTCTATTGGGTGCCAGCTAGTATATCCTAATGTCTATCAAAGCATGTATCTGCACCCTGAATTGTTTTCTGTGGGTTAACAACATACCTTTGAATCTCTACCTGTAGGTAGAGTCTTTAGGACAGAAATCACAGAATAGCAATGTTGATGCTGCAGAACTTAAGCAGAAGCTGACTTGTTTCTAGGATTGGCATGATATAACAAAGAGTACTTAGATTTTTAAACCTTGTTCTGGAAAGTCACCTGTCACCCCTACAGATATCTATCTTATATCCCAAACTGTCATGATCAGCCAACTGTTTCTGCCTCTGCACCTCTTCCTTTCACCATATAAATGACATATTTGTTTGCTATGAAAATGCACAAGAAGGGAAAGAAATAGCTTGTCCAGGACAGAAAACACAACAGGAATCTTACGTTCAGTAAATACAGAATATATTTTACTTCATGCACTTTTTGTATGAAATCATTACCACATCTGTTACTGTTGTTTCTCTTATCTTTCACCCCTGGATTTATTTTTTAACTTGATCATCTCCAGCGTATTTTGTGTTGGTGACTTACCTGACTTGACTTAAATATTTCACAATTTAAGACAATCCTTTGTCTTGTAGAGAACCACAGTATTGGAAAGTTATTCACAGAAAATAAAACATTCAAGGTTGGGTTTTTAACTTTCTCCTTAATTTTTTTTTTTTTAATTTTTTGTGGTAAGAGTGAAACCCTCAAGGGAAAAAAAAATTATGTATCTTGGTATGTTCTCCAAATTAGTTCCAAAAAAAGTTTCCTCCTTGCCTGCGCAGCTCTGACACCAAAATCCTGTCTATAATACTTATTTCGCTCTGTAACATTTTGTAAGTAACACTACTTACAGATTCTAAAACCAGCTTTTTAAAGAAGCCAGGAAACGGATGGCCTCTGTCTGCTTCTAATCCTACCTTAAATTCCTGTGACATATGTATGTAGTTTGCTTTAAACCAGTCATACCACATTTGTTATTTTTTTCTGTCAAAGTCTCTTAACATTTGACAGGAATAAGGGAAGGTTCATGTGAGCCCAAAGACCTTAACTTTCCTTTAAATGTATTAACAAAAGCAACTAACTTCAGGTGATAAGGTGCGTATCAATGACATACACATGACTAACAATTTCACATTTCCTCTGAAATTCCGTGATTCTGGTGACATCACCAATCTTTTCAGGCAGAATACAGAATTTCTTAATGCCCAAACAGGTTCTACACACCCAAGTATTTGTCTAACTAGCATCTGTTGTGTTAATTCCTAGCTCCTCCTCTAGGGGCCTTCCTCATCCTGAATACTTTTTGTGTATATACGTCTTCCATGCTCAATCCTGCCATTGATACTTGTTCCTAAAGGAAAACACATGATATGGTTATGAAGACAAATTAGAATATTGACTAGGTGTGGTGGTGTATGTCTGTAATCCCAACACCCTTGGGAGGCTGAGGTAGGAGATAATGAGTTCAGGGCCAGCCTGGACTACACAGTGAGACCCTTCCCCTCACCCTCCATGTATGTCAAGTATTCTTTGTTTTGAAACAAAACAGGGCTATCATAAAACTATCAACAACCCTAATTTTCACAAAGGCTCATACCAGACAATATTTAAAACTAAGGGCTTACAAACAACCTTCATAGTGTACAATGGAAAGGAAAAATATTCTTTCCTGATGTATCAGTATGGCTATTTTGCAGACTACAAGCATATCAATTCAATGCTAAGTAAAATATATTCTAAATGAGGATTTCACTAGCATACATATATAAAAATAAATACTCTATTGAAATTGAGAAAAAAAGTTTGCATCATCAGTAGAGATTTTAATTAAGATTTCTAACATGGCTCATTCCTTTGCTCTGTAAGGTTTTTAAGCTTAGTACACATAAACATTTGCAGACAATAGAGAAATAAGTAGATAGCAAAATGGAAATACACCTGTTTTATTTCTTTTTTCCTTTTTTTTTTTTTTGAGACAATCTTTCTTTGTAGTTGAAGCTGGCCTTCGACTCCACCTACTTTACCCTTCAGAGGTCTGGGATTATAGGAAATTTATTTATTTCTAACTTACCTTCCACGGAAAGAAACAGCAGTTTTATAATTTTGCATGTCGAATAATATCGGAAAACTACACAGTTTGGATCAACATATCAAAATATCAACTAAGTTATATAGTACAGTAGATTGAAAGGTTTGTTAACTTTGGGAAGGAAGATAAAATCTGATGGGATTGCCAGACAATTTCACTTCCTGTCCTTTTTGTTTTTCTTATCTACAATGAAATCATTTTATGGCAAACCACAATTGTATCCCAGCTTGCTTTTTGTTTCCATTGTGTAAGTCATCACGCTTTCCTGTTGCTTTTCAGTAAATTGGTCAACATCAGTAACAGATTTGGCAGTAATAATGTAGAAAATAGGACACATTATCTATCTATCTATCTATATATATGGTTTTCTAAGCATGAGGGAGATAAATAAGCAAAATAATGAGAATGCATACCACGGTTAAATTCATCGCCATCGTCTAACCAAACACACAGAATGAAAATAGGAATCCCCAGAATGTGACATTAGAGGACAATGCCAAGATACAATCACGCACTGTTATGTCTGAGCATGAAAAAGAAACAGATGGTCATGAGCTTTTCTGCAGGGAGGGGAGAAAAAAAAAGAATAATGATACAAGACAATTGCAAAACTGTTCATGACTGATAAGATTCTTGGAGGAAAAACAAAATGAAGAAGCAGCTACAATAATGAGATTAACAACAACAACAACAACACATCTATGTTTGCCAGCCACATTGCAGAATTTGAGCAATCACCTGTGGTTTTCCGCTTAACACAGGAGAGATGAGTTGGTCTAGTATATTTGATAGCAGGTTTTAAAATGAATTTCCTGGAGGGAGAGTGGGCCTGAACTTCTGTTTTTTTAGCAAGTTCAGCCTTCTTATAAACTGCTATGAATAAGAAAACACAAAAAGCATACCATCAGGAAAAAAAAGGAAACATTTGGAACAATCCCGAACGAAAATTTCATCAAATAAGCAGTTACCAAGATTAGGTAGTTTTTTTTCCCTTACAAAAGAGTAATAATAAATTACTTCCAAAAACATTTTTCAAAGAAGTGATTGTTAAATGAACCTTTTTTCCTTCTCACTTCATCCCTGGAGACTGTGCTAGGCTCCTTTTTAGCTATTTTTCTTTCAGGAGTGGAAATTCTGCCTCTCCCGGTTTTAAAAGGCTTTTCTTTTCTATGTTTCTCGAGAGATGGTCTCCGAACTTCCTTGTCAGCTTTCTCCTCTTTAGGAATAGTGTCTAACTGCTCTGTCATGATGCTTCTGTCATCATCTGCGGATCAAAGCAAATCATGACAACAACAACAGCAAGAACATTAGTAACACACGGACAGAAATCCTTCTTATAGTCAACCAAACAAAAAAGAACGATAGAAAGGAAATACCTTAAAACGTTGGTAGTTGTAAGAAAAAAAGCAACCACCACCCCGTTAGGTTACTGGGTTGGATTTGGAGTAGATTAAAAACAAAAAAAGCACACCTTGAGTATCCACCCACAGGCTGTCAGCATCCAGGATGGAGTCGTCAATGGTGGTCTCGTCCTTGTAATCGTCGTAGGTTTCCGTCTTGTATTCGGAGTAGGCGACGACCCCTTCTCTCCCTGGAGAGCCGTCTCTGCATTCGGCCTGGGCTTCGGCTGCCATTTCGACTTGGAACTGGTCCTCCTCGGGAGCGGAGGGCCTCCTCTCCACCTCGGGCTGCTCCAGGGCTGCGAAGCGCACGCTGTGGGACCCCGACTCGCCCTCCTCCGTGGTGGTCTGCACTACCGTGATGAAGTCGTCTTCGATGGTCACCACGGACTCGATCACTCCCTTGTGCTCCCCTGGCCCTGGGCAGGCCTCCACCACCTCTTCGCGGCTGCTCGGGATCCCCAGGTCAGTGATCTGCAGGGTGTCGGAGCGGAACAGGAGCTTGTCGTATTCGCCCCGCGCTTCGATCTCCTGCTCTTCACTCAGAGCCTCTGCGGGTTCACACACGATGGCTTCCACCTGGGTCGGGGTCACCTCGGAGGGGGTGACGGACGTATCCAGGGTCTCCTTGCTTTCTTCCTTTGGCAACTGAATAAGCTCCATCTGGACATCGGCTCTGTCGTCCGCAGCTAGCTCAGCCTCTGAAACGACGGGCGGGCAAGGGATTTCCACCGACAGCTTAATGGGCGCTTCATCTTGAATGAGAGATGACTCTGGAGACGTTTCCTTCTTGCCCTCGTCAGGCTTCAGGGACTCCAGGGTGAGGCTTTCATGCTCGCCACTGGATTCGTAAGATTCCTCTTTGTCCACAGCCTCCTGGTGCACCAGGTCGGGCTTGGCTACCTTCTCCTTGACTTCGGTCTCACTGACCTTGGCACCTTCTTTCACATGGCCCAGCTCAACACCCAGAAAGGCATCTGCTGCCTGAGGTGCTTTGGAGGCGGGGGTCAGCTCCTGCCCAGCTTCAAGTTTAAGCTCTGGGGCCTTCCCAGCCTCTACGCTCAGCCCCGCAGCCATCTGTCCAAAGTCACTGATTTGAACATCTAACTGATCCTGGTCACCTCTCTTTGCAGCCAAATCCAGTTCTTGTTCAGCCTTTCTAGATGGCTCTACCTCAGCTACCTCTGGCACTGAACCAAGACCTTTACCTACTTTCTCCGGTGATGCTTGTTTTGCTACTGTTGGTTCTTTGGTGGTGGAAACTTGTTCATAGGTCATTCCCAATCCAAACATCTCTGTGTTGCCACCAGCCTCTTCTGTCTCCTTGGTGTGTTCTTCACTTTTTTCTAAGACAGTATCCAGCTTGTCATTGGCTTTTCTGTCCTGGTCAAACTCCTTACCCAAGCCTGATTTGTCAGCAGAGGTAGAGGGAGCTGCTTCTTTCTCAGCACTGAACTCATCTTTGACTCTTCCAGCAGCGGCCAGTTTTACTTCAATCAAGGAAAGGTCTGTGGCCAAATCTCTTCGAACTTTATCATCAGCCCCCTCATAAAAGGAGCCACTCTCTCCCGATAAATTGTCACTGTCCTGAACGGGTGATGGCAGAGGGACGGTGTACTTATTGAACACACAGTACCCCAGGTCTTCAGGCTGACTGTCTGTTTTCACAATGACGTGGTTTGCATCCGTGACAGGTGGCAAGCCAGTACTACTTTCCTCCACCACAGTCTCGGATGGGACTGATTTCCTCCTGGCAAACTCGGCATCTGCACTCACAGAAGCTAACCTGGACCGGGTGCCTGTCAGATCGAGCATCTCGGGCAGGTCAGGGGCCATGACAGTTCCATTTTTGTAGTAATCTTTGGCTAGGAACGGTGACTCACTGGATGTCTCAACTTGAGTATTTTCCTGGCCAGCAGTAGCTTTCTCCTCCTCGATCTTTTCCTCCTCTTCTTTGCTTTCTATTGGGAAGCAAGGGGCTTTCTCCACTGCGGGTGTAGTAGCAGGGAGGTAATCATCTCCTTCGTCCATACTTCCACTAGTGTTGGTTAGAATATCAGAAGCCAAAGGAGAAAGATCATGGCCCCTGCCAAAATTAAATCCAAGGGCGATAGAATCCAGGCAAGACATGGGCAAATTGATTGACATGCTTCTCTGTTCTATGGCAGACCTACCACCAAGTCCCAAGCTTCTACTGAGTGTCAGGTCATCCTTATTCTTACTGTGGAGATCCCTTTTCTCCCCATATACTTTTGGATCAATAGTGAACATTCTCTCTTGAGGAGAACTGGGTTCTTCAGGTAAATCAGAGGGATAACTCTGTGCCAGGGTGCTGTACCCTGCTTCTGGGGTTGGAGCACTTGGCTGGGATTCTTTCCCCTCTTGCAATCCCTTGTCATCATTTTGTGTGGCGGTAGATACGGTATCAGTGGACTCCTGGGCTCTTTCTCTTGTATCGCTTAATTCGTAGTAATCGCTGCCTAGCTGAATGCTCTTTATGGATTCTTCTTTCAAGGCCGATGTTTCAAAGTACTTGGACATTCCTGACTTATCTTCATAAAATGGCATGCCAACCTCAGCCGATGTTGCAGTCCCGACTCCTTCCACCTTATCTTTGACAGCAACTATCTCCTCAGAAAATTCCTGGGCTGCACTCTTTTCACCTAAAGTAGCTGGCTCAGTGGTGACTTTTTCCAAGGTCTTAGAGGCCAGGACTGAATCTGTAAATGTGGACTCCAAACCTGCAGAGAAGGAGTCTTGGTTAAATATGTCTGTGCTCTGTGCTTGGCTTTTCGGTCCTTCTTTTGAGAAAGAGAGCTCTATGGAGCTCTGAATCACGCCTGTTTCTTCATCTCTTTGTGTTGGGGGCTCATGCTCTTTTAGTGTAACTTCTTTATCAGAAATGATTACTTGTTCTTCATGTTTTGGTTGTGGTTCCTGTCCACTGGGAATGGAGGTCTCTTTCTTCTCCTGATTTGTGCCTTCCCTTTCTTCCCCTAAATCCTTCTCCACAACGTATCCTTCCATAACTAGACCGTAAGCATCTTTGGGTAAGATAATTGCCTCTGGAGTTTCTGCCACTTTCTCAGTCTTATCCTTCTGTGACTCCTCTACTTTAGCACTATCTTTGGCAGTAGCTGGATCAGTGGCTTCCTGCAGAGACTTTTTGTCTTCTGGTTGTAAGAGGACAGGGGCAAAGGGTGATGCTCCTGTTGCTATTTCGTTCTTCATAACATCTAAAGGGAGAGTGAAGCCACCTTGAAAAGGACTGGGCATGGGAGAATCGAACTGCTTCCCTTCCCACCTTGGGATATCCTCAAGGACATCTTTCTCCCTCATGGGTGTCAGGGGGCCAGGGGAAACTGGAGCGGCTAAACCCCACTCATCTTTCTTTGTTTCAACTGGAATTTCAATGAACCAGTCTTTCTGCTCTTTGGGAGCTGGAGACTCTGCAGAGAGGCCAATGCCAGGTATCACCACACTTGTCTCTGTCTTCTGTTTCGTGTCTTCCTGGCTGTCACCAAGAGTGTGCCCAAAGAGAGCCAGAGGTGCTTTTTCACCTTCTGTACCTTGGATTTCCTTTTTATCAGGGGAGGTTTTAGTTGTCTCTGGCTGAGGAACTAAGGCAGCATGTTTAAGGTCTTCACCAGGCTTACAAATTAGCTCTGACTCTTTTCCCTTCGTATCTAAAGGCTCAGCTGATGAGGGAGTCAATTCTTGCTGGTCATGAAACTCCATCTTCGAGGCTGTAAGTAAATCTGAAGTAATTGGGTTGATTTTTTAAACAGTAAGAAAGGGCTTTCAGGCAGTAAGCTTAAAATCATACTTGGAGATGGTAAATGAAGAGATGAAGGTTAAAGGAAAAAGCATGGAACATGCAAACATGCTTCCCACTTAGAAATGAATATGCAAATGTCAGTGCTGATATTTTATGTATACTATTGCTAGGATAGACTGTTAGAAATTAATGTGTGCAGGAATTATAAGAAAAGTTTTCTTTAGGGCACTTATTTTTCCTTCTTTTGGCTTTACTTGTTTAGTTTCTGCTAAACATTATGTGATGTGCATTGGAATAAAAATGTATTTGCTTTCTATAAAAATGATAAATTAATGCATACTGAACAAGTAAAGCCAAAAGTATATTAAAGATAAAAGTATATTAAAGATAAAATATGGGTAAGGACTGTCATCTCCAGGATTTTTTTATAGGTTTCTCATGGAAAATAAATTGGGAGACAACGTGCAGAAGATCAGGTAATTCATTATGATAAAAATTAATAGATTTTGATAAATTGATTAACAATTATCAATATCAATTCTAGAGGCATTGAAAAGTTATATTGATATGAAGTTTTAGAAGTCATCTGATATTTAATTCTAAGAATATAAGTAAACACTTGCTATTAATTTGTATGATATGACTTAGCACATCATTGATCACCTAATTTTTATCTATTCAAAACTCTTAATTTCTAATAATCATAACTTATTTTGTATGATGTACATGTATCTGAATCATATTACTAAGACTGCTATAGCAAAAAAATCTTTAAAAGAATTCACTCTTAAAATACCCATTTTTCCGTGGTTTTGGCCTGGATAGGTTTCCCTAGGGCATAATCAGTGATTGAAGCATTGGTCAGTACTGGCTTTACAGATGCTTCACAAGAAATAAATGACTTGCTCTCATTTTTATTTATATGTCAGTCCTTGCGTTTTAAGATTAACGACCACAAAATTGTGGTCTTTAGAGCTAAATGTAGTCATTGGGGAAAGAGTTGAGGGAAAAAATCATAAAATCCAACCACCTTTCAAAGAGCAAGTGTATGGATCATCATTACCTTATATAATTATGTGTTCTGTTGTAACAGTAGAAAAGGAAGACTTAATGAACTTGTAATAAAGGTTAGATGAATGAAAACCTCAAGAGGTATGGGTGTGACCGCGGGAGTTGGCTGCCATGGAGAGAACATGACATGAGAAGCATCAACAAGATTTCTTAAGGGAACCAAACCAGTATTTGCTGAAGCAAAAACATAAAAGTAAAAATAAGTAAACAAACATAGCACATTGCAGTTGCAAATAAAAGCATTTCTATTATTTAAGCCGCTATGCGCCAAACTCCAACTCTAGGACTTGAAAGAAAAGCATATGAAATTGCTGTCCCCAAAATAAAAACAAAAATATACAATGTATTAGCAATGTGACTGGCAAACATTTGAGATGAGGAGGGAGGGAAAATCAAAAGCTCACACAGCACCATCAGCCTGCTGCAAAGCGTATTGTATCATGGCAAAGGACAACCAGGAGTCAGTTGCAGCAGGGGACAACCAAGCTGCCACACAGCATCTGCGCAAGCCACACTCTGCTCATCAAGCCTAAAATGGTGTCTCATGATCATGAGAGGACCCAGCAATGGAGCAACATTGGAAAGGCATCAGGTTGGTAAGCCGCTGGAGAGATGGCTTGCAATAAAACATGCACATCCTGAAAAAGACACACCTTCCTTGGTAGAGGAAGGGGATTTTACTTCTGGAGACACCTCTTTGACCTCTTTTACACCTTTCTCATGTAGTTCCCCCATCCAGGCACTCTCTTCTGGAGCTATTTGGGCCACTGCACTAGACTCCACTTGGCCCCCACTGAGGGCTTGGGGTAGGTCTGAGGGCTTAGTAGCCCCACACTTTTCCCCAGGAAGAGCAGCAGGTTTCTTTTCCTCAGCCATCACACCCTCTAGCGTTTCTTCTTCTTAGGGATGAAAAAGATGTTGACATCATGACCACAGAACAACACACACAAGGACAGAAATATTATTCAAGGAACACTTTCAGCTCCATTGGAATGATCCCATCAGGAACTCAGGTATGTTTTGTTTCACCACTAGATGAGCAAATTGAGAGTGTCATGCAACGTACATTGTGTACTGGTTGAAACATTATGGCATCTCATTCAAAAGGCTATTTATTTTAAAAACTGAGAGCTGAAAGGGTTTTATTGATTGATTACCCTTAGTGGAAATGGCAGTAAGCTATATGCATGTGAAGGGTTTGCTGGAAATGAGATAGAGTTGGATGGGTAACAGATGGTTGGGATAAGATACATGAATTAATGCACTGAAATGAAAGCCTTAAAATTTGTTGGGCGTGCTGTTTTCTCCAATGCATGAAGCCCCTACATAAGAATCCTTGATTGTTTCATTTAAAAGCTGGAAAGAACTCTAGAAGTTAAAAAAGGCCTTTTTACAAAATAATTTCCAGCCAAATGCCTTAACAGCTTTATTATAAGTCCATCAAAATTACTCAAATTTATTTACTACTTCCCAAAGAAAAACTACCTGAGTCCATTTATGTTATTTTCATTGAATTATATGATGCCAGAGAAAGGAAAATATTCAATAAAATGCAGAATTTATTATTTACAAACTTATTATTTGCAAAAGTTGGTCTCTAGACCATGATTATTACAATAAGGCTTAATCAGTAATATTGTTCATGTTTAAGTTCTTTTGACACTCAGAAAAAATAGGCACGTTAGCAATAAAATCATGTTGAAGATAAAAATTGAAGATAAAAATCTCTGAGAAAAGATAAATGAGTGGCAAACTTTCAAGACAGCTTTGTCCCATGACTATCATGTGGGAAAGTAGTAGCATTATTGCACTACTGATTTTTTCCTTTACATTTTAAATGACAGTAAAAACAAATGAATCCCATTTTATCCCTTAATAACTTAGAGATAAATATATAAACTGCTCTATAGCTCTGCAGATGGAAGAAGATTTTTTGTTACATTTCTGAAAAATAATTGTACACTATGTAACAGGTCCTGAGTGAAAAACTATAGATGGAAAGAAAAGGAATTTTCTTTTTCAAGAAATAGTAACATCCCAGAGGGAGAGAGTAGATAGAATTATTTCATCTGTTTTATCACTCAGGGATTTCCATTTTTATAATTTAATTTTATAAGTAACATGTTTTTAAAAGAAAATATTCCAATTCTAACAAATTATTAAGAGAATTTTTGTAATGCATAGGTCTTGACTGCAGTTAAACGAATTTTAATATAGCCAACATCACTGATGTTACTTCACTGGACAGTCAAATCAACTAAATTTACAAGTTTTCAAATTCATGTCATTTTTTAACCTTTTCATTTTCTCATTTGTTTAGAACATGTGTACTTCTACTGTTCATATTTCTTAACCAAATATTTCCATATATTTGATTATCTTAAGTTCACACTGTGAGAAGAACATGGGTGCATTCAGTGGAGGTTATATTTTGCTATCAATGTTCCTGTTCCATGGGAGCTCTTTATTTTCAAAAGGAAACCAAAGAAGCACCTTATCAGGAATCTAAGTAGAGGGTTATGAGCTTATACCTCATTGTTTTAAAACTGTCTGCACTTAACATTACATACTGTCTCATAAGAAAATAAACTCTTCCGCTACTAAGCAAGTTATTTTGTTCATTTGAAAATAAACTCTTCACCTAAGAAAAAGTATTTTTAGCTGTACTTACTTTTTTCTTTACAAAACTACTAGTTAGAATGAGGAATCTGGCAGCCCATTGCCCGCTCATTTTATCCTGACCATAGCCAATTACATACTAGGTCTGGAAGCTTTATGAGATTGGAGAGACCTCCTAGATTCTGAATCATTTCTTTCATTTTAGCCCAGATCTGCAGGCAAACTTTATCCACCCAATTGTTGTTTCTGCAGATGATTAACTGAAATGAAGAATTCATTCATAACATTTATTTCTATTCTAAATATGTCCTCCAATCTTTCTCTCTTAAGGAATGATCATATCAATACAGCCCTATAAAAAGCTACTCTCTTTTGTATCCATGGAGAAAAAAAAAATATCAAAGTCATCTTCTTTGGTGTGGGTAAGGATCTACGGTGACTTTTTTTTTTTTTGCAAGGAGTAGATAGAAGTCAGAACTGGACTTGAATTTTAATTTTTGCTCCGTCTCTCACTGTCTCTCACTCTTCTTGGAAGAGAGGATATAAAGAGAGGAAGCGCTCACATGGCTGAAGGAGGACTTCTGTATAAATTTTGAGGCAGCTGGTTGGGATATGTCCTACAAAGAGACTTTACTTACATATGGAAAAAACAGCCTCTAGTCCCGCCCACCCCCACATGAAGGCACATTGAACAGGATGGGTGTGGCCAGAGCTGCAGGCTGGAGAGGAGGAGCAAAAGGGCACCATGCTTGGTTCACCTTTCTCCTGGCCTAAGTGGGCCTCTGCACTCTGCGCTGTGGCACCGGGGAGCACATTAGAGGTAGTCCATTCTGAGCTGAACAAAGGGTGCTCATAATACTCCTCATCAGAATTGTAAGGCTCATCATCGGGCACAGACACGGAGATGGAGGGGGCTAGGAGCCTACGCCTCTCCCCGCTGGTGGCAGGCTCGTGGCTGGGGAACCTGTGTAGAGGACCCACTTGATCCTCAGCCCCTTCATCTACAAACAGACACACAGGAAGAAACTGCAGGGAGAACTGGACGAGACAGACACAAGATCAGACGGACGAGACAACCTACATGAGGACACAAAGGGCCTGAGAAGTGCACAGTGTGATGGAGGAGAAGTAGCGAGACTCGGCTGATGACAGATGGGAGACAGCGAATGCCGCATGCTTCAGTAGCCACTGAATTTAAATGACCCTTTTGCAATTTTGCCGTTGATCTAAGTAATCAGAGATAGTGACACCACCCATATTACGACAGAAATTATCTGTCAATTCTTCTCCAACAAGTCAGAATAACCAAGGAAATACTGGGATAGAAACAAGCATTACAAAACAAATGGATCCTTTAAAGAAGATTAGCTCTTATTCCTATAACAGTACATTTATAAATTTATAAAGAAATAAATAATTAGCATGTTAGGCCTGTCTGACTACAGCAAAAAAAAAATTATACCTGCTTGAAATGCAATTTTAATTAACTAGGATGCCCAAGTACTTAGCATTTTGGTTAATTTAATGTTTATTAATGACTTCAGTGAGAAAATAATTTCAATTCTGTCAAAAGATAAAAGTACAAAGCATTATTTCTTTTTCCTGCCTTGATATGGAGGAAGCAGTTAGGATTACTGCCATTAGCTGACAATGTCTAGAGTTGGCTTCAGATTCGTCAAGACTTCATTCTGAGCAGCTTTATTTGTGCCACTGGTTCTTGCTGTTTTTATGTTTCAGATTTTCGATTGCAGATTAGTTTTACTGAAATAATAATACAACGGCTCCCGTTTCTATCTTTTAACTGTGTCTTGGCTTGAAAATCTGCATTAATTAAATGTATTTCCTTAAATTCACAATTGTAGACCGGCTTTCTTATTATGATCTGGACTCTTGTACACTGCAATGAATTTCAAGGATCCTGACAATGAACACTATTTGCCTCTAGTGGGCTGTAGATGCCACATCTCAGGCCAGTGTGGTAGAATATTAAATTTCCTAATTACTACTTACTTACATCTGGAGGCAATTTAAAAATAAAGTTCTCATCAAACAATATAAATCAAATTCTAGCATCTATCTGTAAAACTTCTTATTTCTATCAGAATTTAAGCAGGCAGAATTATAGCATTAATTTGCAAATGCATTATATTTTTAGGAAAGTAACTTATTTTCAGCAGCCAACTGCTGACAACTGGAAATAAGTCTGAAATCACAAGGATGCTAAAATAACACTCTTGAGAGAATATGTTTAATCTTTTGAGCATATCATTTACTGATTGTCCCATGGAAGTTGCTACTGGATAGATGCTCAGAACTTTTTCAGCCCTGATACTTACTATATCATGGGATAGTAGAGCCTAAAATAGTGTTTGATATGATTAGTTTAACTCAGCATGAGTTTTTCAGCTGAGGCCTACAACACTGACTGCATTAGTCTGTTTGTCACATAGTCTTTTCATTTATATTTCCTCCAGTCACACTTCTATTATGTTCAACTAATTTCATGGACAATCATAGGTGAAAGTAAAATCTTATCTTTTTTTTGTTTCTCTTCTTTCCTCCTTTCCTCCCTCCCTCCCTCCCTGCCTCTCTCCCTTCCTTCCTTCCTTCCTTTTTTTCCTCTCTTTTCCTTCTTCCTTTCTCTCTTCTTTTTCTTTTGGTTTAACTTAGGGCCTAGGCTCTCTAGCTATTTTGCTCAAGGCTAACTCTTTACCACTAAGAGCCATAGCTCTACTTCTGGATTTTTTTTTTTTAAGAGAGTGCAGTTAATTGGAGATAAGTCTCACAAACTTTTCTGCTTGGATTGGCTTCAAACTGTGATTGGCAGATCTCAGCCTCCTGAGAAACTAGAATTGCAGGCATGTGCACCTGTGCCTAGCTTGTCTCCCTGTTTTTCAGCATTTATTTTCTGTGAAATAAAGAAAATTGTGAATAAACCTACCCCTTACCTGAAAAAAGAAAAGAAAATTGTGGTGTAAAATGAAAGTATTGAAAGGTAAGAGCTTGCAGTTAGAGACAACACTCACTTTTGAAAACTTTTTTGTCCTCTTTCTTACCATTTGTTGTTGTTGTTTTTAAAGTGCCAAAATGTAAAAATAGCTCAGAGTCTTGCTTCAGATCTAAAACCTTTCAAAAGAATACTATTTTCTATTCTGTAAATGTTCAGAAGATAACAAAAAACATCATCAGAAACTGTAAAAACTCCAGTGGAAAGGTAGCTTCTGTATCCAGCTCTAAGCCAAGGTAACTTCAAAAAGAGTGTGTGGCATGGCCAAGTCTGGACTTCTCTTGGTTCTGTGTGTTCCACGTTCCCCAAATACCTGTCAGTGTGTGGGAGTACAGCCAATCTATGATATAAGCTTCAGAGACAAGCCAGAGAAGTTGTGCTCAAGAGATAATTAAGTGTAAGCAGTGCACTTGGTCCCAATGATATTGACAGAAAGCATTAGATTCTTATTTGTTACAGAGTTGCTCATCATACCACACTCAGTAGGGGTGGGGTAAATACTAATGACACACAAATGATAAAGTGAAAAAGGATTTTAGTGTAGTAGCCTGTCATACACACATACAAAGTGCTTCACTTTGAAGACAAGTTACTTCCACTCAACAATAGACAGATGGAGGGAGGTTGTGGAACTGTGGGCTGTAAGATTTCAATTTCAATTTTGATTTTGAATCCAGACAAAAATAATGATCTCTTTAGGGGAAAAGCCCAAGTGTCAGTGAATCTGAGGGCTGCTGGAAGGGCTGAATGTGCAAGGGCCTGTGTGAGGTTTTACTAACATACAGTTGGCCTCTGTGTCTTCAGTTTTCAAGTTCTTCTACTCTTTCCCTTCATTGGACACAAAGTTGGATCAGAGACTTTTATTATGAAAAGTTGAATTGATTTCATGACAGACAGTTCTGTTGTTGGAATGCATCACTAAGGCTGCTAAGCCCTTCTCCTTTCAGCAAGCTTTTGACTAAGAACTCCTCAGTTTTTTGCCTGTTTATGCTGCCCTCACATGATATGGAACAAATATACTTTCAGATTTGCAACTATGTCACTGTGCCTTCCCCCCCCTCCACGGCTCCTCCCCCTCCCCACCTCAGAATTCCAGAGCAAACCTAATTGGGCAGATGGATTCCCTGGTCTGTTTTCAGAGAATTCCACTGCATTTGCACAGACTTCCTAATTCTAATAGCACAGTCCAAACACAACCACTACATTTAAGCCAAAAATGAAAAACAAGGCTGAGTGCCGATGGTTCTTAGGAGGCTGAGATCTGAGGATTGCAGTTCAAAGCCTGCCCAGCCTGGCAGTAAAGTGGGACTCTTATCTCCAATTAAAGTTACTAACAAGGCAGAAGTGAAGCTGTGATTCAAGTGGTAGAGCACCAGCCACGAGCAAAAAGCTAAGAGACAGTGGCCAGGATCTGAGATCTAATCCAGTATAAAGAGGGGAGGGGCGGGAAAGAAGGGTAACTGTCAACATCACAGCCCTAATCTTGGGCTAAGAGGATTCTCAGACATTGAATGGATTTAAGTAGGAGCCTAGAAACTGTCAGTGACCTAAGAGAAGTACAACTCTCCAGTAGCTCTTCCAAGTACATTTAGAGTAAAATCTAGTATTTCCTTTGTAGTAAAACCCCAGCTGGCTGCTGCTCAGTCTTTCCTTCACTCTTCTACCTCTTCCTTACGACCTATTAGGCATGGACCCTTATTTTAGAGCATGATATCTACTGCTCATCTGAGTGCCCTTTGTATATCCTGCTTCTTTCACTTCCTGAAGTACCCTTTTCTTCCATCTTTGCATGACCAACATTTCCTCATGGTTCTAGGCTTACCATTACCTCCCCTTCCACGAAGGCAAGATTCCCTTCTCTCCTCTATCTGAAGGCCCCTAGTTCATTTCCCTTCCTGGTGCTAACCCACTCTTTAATTATCTGTAAGCTTATGTACTGGGTTTCTGTCTTCTGTTAAATAATGTGTTCCTTAAACACAGGGATTGTTTCTATGTTGTCATGAGCATATATACTCAAAATTTGAAGAACTTCTAGAATGTTGTAGAGGTTCAAGAAATTAGGTACCAGGCTGAGAAAAAAAGTTTTCAAATCTATAAGTTAAAAAAATTAAATCCTATTTAAGATACTAATCATCAGTGGCTAATATATTCCCCAAACCTCTTTTCCTTCTTTAGAATAATTGTGTTTAACGCTACCTCAGGTATTAAATTTGGAGGAAAAGAAGCACATTGATTAAAGAGAAATTTTTGGGTGAACAAAACTGTGACAAAAATAAAAGTATTTGGACTTGGCTCTATGCAGTTCAGAAATTTAGAGTTTGATATTAAGGAAATCAAACAATGTTTTAAATTAACCTAGTTACAAATTGTAAAAGAATAACTCTTTCATGACAAATGTTACTCAATGTTGTCACAATGAAAGGATTCTAAAATGACAGAAAAAGGAAAAATAAGTAAATAAGAAAAAAAGGGGCTGGGAAGGTGGCTCAGTGGTAGAGTGCTTGCTTTGCATGCCCGAGGCCCTGGGTTCGATTCCTCAGCACACGTAAGCAAAAAGAAAAAAGCCAGGAGTGGTATTGAGGCTCGAGTGGTAGAGCGCTAGCCTTGAGCTGAAGAGCTGAGGGACAGCGCCCAGGCCCAGAGTTCAGGCCCCACGACCGGACCCTCCCCCCCACCCCCCCAAAAAAAAAGAAAAGAAAAAGAGTAAAATGGAATAGTTTTAAAATTCTGATTTTAGTATACAGAAATTGAAAACAAACCATTATTTTGCTGATTTAGATCAGTCAGCTTTTGTGCATCATTAAAAGAGTCACAGGAAAAGGAGAGCCAATGCTCCTTCCTCTGCTGTGTTAACATAATTTAGTTTCTTTGATCTGAGATTCTGAATGGATGGTCTTCAAAGGCATGCCTCTGTTTTATCAATGAGAACTGGAGAGCTGAGATGGCATTCTAAGGCATGCTAGTGCATGAATGTATTCATGGGCAGTAACAGGCCTCCACAAGAAAAAAACAACAACCATGGTCTCAGCTTTTACTTCATTGCTCTCACTATCAGGTTTATTTATTAACCTCTTGATTTACTAATATATCTGGAGAGTATGCATTGCCCAGGCCCTGGGGAAAATCTTGGTCATACAATAGTAAGCAAAACTGAGATAATTTGTGATATTTCTATTGATCTCATAGGTAAGTATGATTCTTGCTATAATGGATTACATTTTTTTTTGTTTAGTCACAAAATGGGTATTTTCTTTCTCCAAACAGTACCTATTAGATATTGATTCTCTATACTTAGCCTAGCAATTTAAACACAAAGGTATCCTTTTCTTTATCCAGTATATTTCCATATTCTTCTACTTCAGATTTTATATAGATAAAGAACTACATATTTATTTGAGTATTTTGTTTCTTCTTGACTATTTGAAACAGAACTCCAATGCTGGATCCCATATTGACCAGTGCTGTAGTCTATGGCGTGTGGGTCAATGTTTATTGCTTACCCCTTCTGAGAAGATAAACCCTGCAAAGTCAGGCCTTACCTTCCTCCACTGGAATGGTCTGTTCTGAGGCTGGTGATGGGGGTGGAGAAGGGGGCAGATTAGCTGTCTCTTCAGCTGCTGAGGATTTAGAAAAAGGAGAAAACAGATATGACAATTAATAGTATTTGCAAGTAATTCTACCATTCAAAAAGCCCTCTGTAAAATTCAGTAAATAATTCAATTGTAATCTACATGTGACTTATCATTAGGCCTTGTCCTGATTCACATTTTCGACAACTTAGAGTAAGATAAGTATTCAATATTCTTCAAAAAAATATTTTGTCTTCCCCACAAAAATGGATTAGACATAAATGGTAAAACTGTATCATGAATCTCACTTATTTTAGTCTAGTTGTTCCATTCATAATGTATTTCATTTGGCCTTCATATACCAGGAAAAACATGTACATAGTTTAGATAAAGTTAGACCAAAAGAAGATATTGGATAGTAAGTTGTCCAACTACTTGATCTGGAAACATTAAAAATATGTCAGATATACTAGCTATATATAAAAATACTACCACATTTTTTAGAATAATATTTTCCATCACCTAATTTAATGTTATTACTCATCTCTATGTATTCTTAGAAAAATGGTTTCCCTTATTTGCAATAACTAGTGTATGTCTGAGTCAAGCAGAAAAGATCAGATAAGTTGATGTTAAGGGAATGAACCCCAAGATAAGTATTCAGATGGTTTTTTTTTGTTTTCTGTTTTTCCTTTCATGAAATTGTTTCTATCATATTTGTAAGATGATATCTATGTTGCTTTGTATGTCCCTCCCCCACAGTATAACCCATACTTTCACTGTATTTGATGTTGGTATAATTTGTGGAGGGGAAGGGAAAAAAACAAATTGTTTAACTAGGGATACAGGTGGACCCATTGCAACAATGAGATGTACAAGTCGTTATGTCGAAAAACGAACTTAACAACTTTGGTGGGGGGTGGGGGGAGGATCGGCTGGGGGGAGGGGAGGGTGGGAAGGTATGGGAAGGGGAAACAATGAGGAGGCTACAATGCTTGATAAGAAATGTACTCGTTATCTTGCCCATGTAATTGTAACTCCTCTGTATGGTATTCTCACAATAAAAAAAAAGAAAGAAAGAAGAAAAATGAAGCTGTTTAGCTAGGCACAGACCAGTGACAGATTGATGCACTGGGTGATGTTATCTTCTGGTCTTTCAGGAAAGTTCTAAAAGATGCAACACTCACAGTATAGGGAGGTTTTCTCCTCAGGTGCCTTCCTTTTGACTCCTCTATGAAGGAAGGAATTTCAAAAGGAAGTATATCTTTGGGTCATGTCTAAATCTCTTCTAAAGATTATATGAATTTCAGTGGCATTAAGCAGTAACTGGAGGCAGTTTTGGATGATAGATGATGCTTTTAGCTCCTAGACCCTGTGGGGCCTTTATGACCTAACTACCTTGTGATCCAGCAATGCCACTCTTGGGTCTTTATCCAAAAGATTACAAACTAGGATACCATAAAGCCACCTGCATATCCATGTTCACTGCAGCACTATTCACCATAGCTTAGGTAGGGAATCAGCCCAGATGCCCCTCAGTGGATGAGTGGATCAAGAAAATGTGATATATATATACCACGGAATTTTACTCATCCGTTAGAAAGAATGATATTATATCATTTCAAAAGAAATGGAAGGACCTGGAAAAAAATTACATGAAGTAGGTGCGGTCCAGAGGTACAAAGGATGCATCTTTTCTTACATTAATATATACATGTATAAGTAAACACTCTGGAGTATTATAGAAGTATACAAAAATGTTTAACTGAAATATGGTAGATTCAGGGGAGAAGTCAAGTGGTATAATGCCTTAGGAAGGCTAACTCACAGACCACCAACATAAATTCCAGGAAACAAGAAGTCAAAAAAGGAAGGCAGTGTCAAGTATGTATGTGTGGGGGGGGTGGAGGGGAAAGCAGATGAACAAAGATAGGAAGGAAGAAGGGAGAATATAGTCATATCCTACAAAATTAAGAAAATTGAGGGAAGAGGTGGAGTTGGGAGCGATGGAGAGAGTAATGAAAGGTGTGACATTCATCAAGATACACTATATCGATAAATTGCTTAGTTGAATGGTAACCCCTTTGTACAATGACTTATTAAAGATAATAAAAACGTATCTGAAAAGATTTGAAATTTTAAAAACTGAATTTTCTGTCAAAGAATAGAAGTAAACAACAGACTGAAGGTTATGTTTATGTTAGATAACTTTTCATCTCTGTTTAAGAGAAAAATAATTGTTGATATTCAAAACACTCAGATTAAGAAAAGATTATACTAGTTGAGGAGCCTGTAGTTCATGCCTGTGCTCTTAGTTACTCAGGAGGCTGAGATCTGAGGATTATGGTTCGGTCAGCCCAGGCAGGAATATCTGTGAGACACTTATCTCTAATTAACTAGCAAAATGCTGGAAGTAGAGTAATGGTTCAAGTGATAGAGCGCCAGTCCTGAGCCAAAAAGCTAAGAGCTTGAGTTTAAACTCCAGTACTAGCACAAAAAATAAATATAACTCCCCCAAAAAAACAGAACAAAAATAATTTGTATACTGAAAATTATTTTGGGGGGAAGTAAAAGATCTTTATTATTCACTTTTTAATAGACACTTGAAGGAACACTAAGCAGGAAATCAAATATTAAGGATAAATAAGATTGTAAGACAGGAAATGGATGTGTACAGTTTTTAGGACTTCAAAGAATACTTTCTGTAGATTGAGTATATGCACCCAATTAACTGATTAACAAAAGATGCTCTTGTATATCTCTGCATATATTTCTATCTATCACTTGATCAATTGATCAACCTAACTTTCTTTTTTCTTTTTTTATTGGTTGTAGGTCTGAACTCTGGGCTGGGGCGCTGTCCCTCAGCTCTTCAGCTCTAGGTCTGTGCTCTACCACTTGAGCTACAGCACTACTTCCGGCTTTTTCTGTTTATGTGGTGCTGAGGAATCAAACCCAGGGCCTCATGCATGCAAGGCAAGCAGTCTTCCATGGAGCCACCTTCCCAGCCCTCAACTTAACTTTCTGACAGGGCAGTGAACCTTTGGATGAGTGATCTCCTTGGCTATCTGGTACTGGAGGGAATTTCATTTATGACAGGCTATCTCTGTATCCACAGACAGGCCAAGTGGCAGTATTTCCTGATGATTCTAGCAAGAATCTATAGCTTTTGTGTATACACTTCAGAAAGACTGGAAAGAAGACTACAGTATAGACAGTCATTTACCCAACCCCATAAAGGGAAACAATCATTTCTTATTGACGTTTTGGTTCATTTTCCTTCTAGCTGGAGGGCAGGACTGTCAAAGCAATCTTGTAAAGGTCTACAATACTAAGTTAAAAACCTGTTAGGAATATCTGACTGTAGGCTTATCATTCTGAAAACCACCAAGGTACTACCAATAAACCTGCCAAGGAAGAGGAAATAGGTCCCTTTGTTGCCCTTTGTAGGTGATGAGTGAATGTGACATGTAAGGATGATGTATAAAGATGGAAGCTCTCTTTGAACATGAACATTGACCTGTGGGGAGCAGAGCGGCCCCTGGATCTGAGGCTCGTCTCATTTACCTAATGGCAGAGCTGTGGGCTGGTCTTTGTGCTGGGCTTCTTTCTCTTGTTCGCCTTTCAGGACTGCTACAGCTTCAGCAGTGACTACTTGAACTATCCTTGCAGATACCTCCTCTGAAAAGAGAAGATGACAAACGGGAACAGTGAGGAATCAAAACCAGGTCACAAAGAGGAAAAGTCTCCACGTAGTACTGGGGACTAGAATTTCAGTTTCACTGCCTTCTCTTCATGAAGGGTAATGCGTTCTTTTCCACTGTATATAAAACACAAACATATATTTAGAGATGGATTAACAAAAGGAGTTGGCATTCTAAAGACTACACAAAAGGAACATGCAGCTAACAAAATAATTACTGGATTGAAAATGAAACTTTATTTCTTAAAACTGTTTTACAGAAACTCAAGTCTCTGTACCAAGTACATGTTCAAATAGACAAGAGGGAATTTATTTTGGTTTCCATCTATTGTTTCACTAGAAAATATTATTCAAGTAAATCTGTATGCTCCTTTATAGAAATATCTTTATTTAAAACATAAAGTTCCTCAAAATGTATATTTGTGATTAAATGGAGCAGTGCAAACAAGATAAATTCTAAAAATCTGGAATGATAACAATCTTTTGAAATACAGGGCAATGATATATCATACTTTTTCTAAAGAAACACTACTTTTCTAGGTAGTCCATGTTTTAAAGATCATTTTGGCTATACTATATATACTCACCTTGCAAACACAATCATTCACTAAAATGATCAGTATGAGAAATGTTAAAATAACTAGTTTGAGGGCTTCAATTGACATGCTCAATTGATAGTGTTAGCTATAATATAACCCAGCTAGGGGGAAAAAAACAAACCAAACCAAAATGACAATAAAAAACCCAAAATACAATAATAATGTTTTACCTAACTTCAACTAAAAAGGAAAGTAGCCTTTTGAGATTAAAAATGTATTCTATATTAGAAATAAATTCTACATACTTAACATTTTTCCATCTCTTAATAAGAGCAATAACCACACTAGAAAATAAACCAATTCATATTTCTAGTAGACACAGGTTATATGATGGAAGGAAGAGTGTGTTCAGATTTGTTCTTATTATTTTAGTTAAGATAACTGGAATTTGTTCATAATTTAAAATGTATTATCACATATGATCCAAATTTGCACACTCACACACAAGTTTTGGAAGATCTACTTGATTTTATTTGTCTGACTCATTTACATTTTGACCTCTTTGAAGAAAATTCTTCCTTACTTCATCCAGGATGATAGAGAATGTAGTAAACTTGAGTTGTGGGGGTTAGTAATCAATTTGGACAGAAATAATCTAAATTTTCAAAGGTGGATTATCAGCTTGAGTAAATTGGTCTTATGTGTTTAACTTCCTTACTAGAGTAGCACTAGTGATCATAGAAACATATTTAAAAACAATGCATATATATTTTAAAACATTTTAGAATATATTACAATATTTAACATTTTCTGATTGGTTTATATATAGTGTGCACTATGTGCATGCTCTGCTAAGGTGCTTTTCCTCATCATTTTTATTGAATTATTCACCATGATTGTTCCTGCTTTATAGGCAAGAAGTTCGGAGGAGGAGGAGGTAGAGGAGGAAGAGGAGGAGGAAGGGTAGGGTTGTGTGTGGTCATGAGGCCAGGTTTCTGGGTAAGGATTCTATGAACATTCCTATAAGAGGATGGGCTCCCAGAGTGATACCTCTACTGAGAAGAGAATTATAAAATGGGCTACAAAAAATTAAATGCATAAAAAATCCCAGCTCTAACATCTTGTTTAATACTACTACTAAAAGAACTCAATAGATTTTGAGCATTGGTATAGATATTAATTTTCAATGTAATATTAATATTTAAAAATCAACAGAACAATATAGCTTCTTCTAGCACCCCAGTGTTTTATGCAGACATTTTAGGAAAGAGTAATGGAGGAAGAGAGCAAAATGTGGCAGAAACTGAAACACCTACAGAGCTCTGTGACTTTTGGATCATTCTTTCATCTTCCTATTAGTACTTAGGCAAAATTTTTTATTTTCCTATTTAGGACCAAGAAGTCTTCCTAAATTGAAGATGCAGGTTTGCATATCTTATCTCCTTGATAGATTATGTCCCAAGTCAAGGACTCTTCTCAAAGCTTCTTTCATAGAGATTTACTTAGACTGGATGGTTAACATACTTTTTAAAATTCCTGCTTGTCCTGGGGCTTGAATTCAAGGCCTGGTACTGTCTCTGAGCTTTTCAGCTCAAGGCTAGTGCCTTACTGATTAAGCCACAGCTCCATTTCTGGTTTTTTATTTTGGTAGTTAATTGGAAGTAAGAGTCTCTCACAGGTTTTCTTGCCCAGGCTGGCTTTGAACCTCAATCCTCAGATCTCAGTTTTTTGAGTATCTAGGATTATAGGTATAAGTCACTGGCACCCAGCTAATGCAATATTTTTAAGGGTGAAAATTTATGTGATAACTTTGTTCATTATAATTGCACAAATCAAAAATAGTAAATGCTTGTGATTGCACCTGTTAAGGAAAACTGCCAAATTATGTCATTCTATTAATGTTGAAGAAATTAATGTATTTTAGAAGAGTATTAATTAAATGGGAGTGTCAGATTCTTGTATACTTGTTAATGGATTTTCCATTCTATAAGTTATTTTATGTCAATCAGTTTTTTTTTCATATCGGGAAGATGAGTCAATCAAATGGTTCAAATGTCCATTAGTCTTTATGAACAGACTATAAACTGATAATGTTCCATTGCTTCGTCTTTCCATTGCTTTCGTCTTTGGGATTGTATATAGGATATATAGTATATATTGTATATCATTTTGACACCGATAAGAACCATTTTAAATGTTGAGGGATAATTAAAGAAAACAGAAGTAATCTTAATCCATAATGAAGTTAGTCACACTAGGGGAGATCAAATAGTTCCACAAATGTATACCGATGAAGGGGACTGTAAAAATGAGCATGCCATATAGCCTAAATATACATGAATAGGAAGAAAATCAAATTCCTCATTAAGACAACCTAAACAAAATGCACTATATTTCAACTATGAGTAGTATTTGGTGTCAGCAAAACAGTATTATTTATTTTAGATGTATTGGCCGAGAGAAAAATAATTTTTAACTGTGTCTAACTTTGACAGTTCAATAAAAGTGTATGGAAAAAGTTAAGCTTCTTTTTGCACATGTTTTAGAAAACTTGTATGTAAGCTAGGTACTTCAAGTGACTCATTTAAAGAGGCTTATTGTCAGGTACATGCCTATCCTTCTAGCTACTTAGGAGGCTGAAATCTGAGGATCATTTTTAAAAGCTTGTTTAGGAAGAAATATCTGAGAGACTCTTTATCTCTAGTTAACTAGCAAAATGCTAGTGCCAGCCTTGAGTGAAAAAGATAAGCAACAGCATGGAACCCTGAGTTAATAGCCCAGTACCAGCCCTCCTCTCCCAATTAAAAAAAAAGTATTTAACACGATCTTGAAGACAAGTTGTTGTTACATGAGGCCATTGGTTACTTGCTGAAATTAGTTAGCCTAAACTTTTATGCATTTATTTTATTGTGAGAATACCGTACAAGTACATTTCTTATCAAGCATTGTTGCCTCCTTTTTGTTTCCCCTTCCCATCCCTTCCCATACTCCCCTCCTCCTCCCAGCCTATCCTCCCCCCCACCCCCCACCAAAGTTGTAAAGTTCTTTTTTCGACTAAGGAGTTGTACATCACATTGTTGGAATTGTTGGAATTTGTTTTTTCCCTTCCCCTCCACAAATTATACCAACATCAAATACAGTGAATCATGGGTTATACTGTGGGGGAGGGACATAAAAAGCAACAAAGAAATCATCTTATAAATATGTTAGAAACAATTGCATGAAAAGAAAAAAAACCAAAAAAAATTTGAATACTTATCTTGGGGTTCATTCCCCTAACATCAACTTATCTATATTGACAAAACAATGGATAAAAGCAACCTGTTGCCCTTTTCTAAAATAATAGTATAATTATTTTAACGAAGAAAACCTAGAATCAAATTCTGCCTCCAACTCTTAGAAGTCATGATGATTAAAGAATATTCATTCCTCTAAACTTTAGATACCACATCTGTAAAGTGGGTTTATTCATCGTTAGGTGTTTTGTGACAATTACATGAAATAATATTGATTAACTATTAATATATTTATGTATCTGACTCCATGTAGGTAAGATATAATAGCTTTGGTCATAAATTGAGATGATTTTGTAATTTTTTCCAGTAAAGTCTGACTATTGCCTGATAGACAATGAATTAGCTCCTACCATGTAGTATTTGGTAAAGTATTTATCATGTCTTTTCTTTTCTTCTTGTGGGAACTGAACCTAGGGTTTTGAGCATGCTCTCTCCAACTGAGCCATATGTCAGCCAATCCTTTCAACTTTTTAAAGAAAGGCTCAGGTCTTGTTTTTAGCTTATATTTTCAGTTTGCTTATCTTGTTCTATTGGACTATCAATATTACTTGGCTGGTTAATGCCAAGTAAATGAAGCTGAAACTTTCCAAATAGCCCTGAAAAATTCTAACAGGGTTGAGTTATACATGACATTGTTGGTAGACTTGGAAATTTGTTTTTAAATGTGTACCTTTTGGGTTTTCATCAGGACCAGCTGTGATTACTTGAACATGCATAGGTTCACCAACTAGACTGTGAACACAAATTCCAAGCAAGTTGGCATATGCCCGAGAACATATTTCAGTTGAGTTCATTCAGTTGGTTAAAAGCAAAGTAAGTAAATTAAAGCATATGAATATAAAAGTCAATTAATGCTTTTAAGACTCATGGGCATAATAATCCTATGTTAAATGAAATGACAAATAAGCATACTGCACAATAGTGGCAGAAGAAACAAAACAATTTAAAACAGAATGCTCCTGTCAAGAAAAGGTTCTTCTCAGTAGAGCACAGAATGGTTACCTAGGAAACCAATTCTAATTGCTGCTGCTGATGGAAACTAGTCAACAAGGCATGCACTATGTAGTTTGAAGTGCTTTGTTAAACAATTACCCTAGATATATTCATAAAATAGGAACAAAAAAGTTCCTTTCTTCTACTCCT